CCTATCCCCCTGTGTGCCTTGCCTCCCACGACTATATATAAATTCATTGGTATATACAACATATCATTTTAGATGGAACACTATTTTACATATTTAGGTATTTATGTATTGTTTTAGTTAGCTGCAATCCTATACTGAGGGTATTTTTTGTCCTTTTTTTTCTTTTAACAATAATCCCATACCTTAGATTACTGTTGCCGTTTCATTTTATGCTTTGAATGAATCAATGATATGTTTTGTGTTTTGACAATAGAGTAAATGTTGTTGATAGACTTATTGAAAGTTTAAGCAATAAGTTATCAACTATTACTAGAATAACATTAGGCTTCTCCACATCCCCTATTTTTAAGTTTTATTTTACAATAGACCCAAGGTTTTAAAAGATATACTGGGACATAAAAATTGTAGATTTTACTTCTTCTAACCCCTTGAGATAATTTAAACCTCTTTTTTTAGGTTAAACAAATCTAAAAAGATATATAATTTTTAAAAGCCAGCCTCTCGAACTTCTATTTATTTCTCTCCCTTCGTCTTTTCCATCTCCCCTCACTCTTTCTCCTCCTGCTCTCTATCTTCACGTTTTCCTCCTGCTCTCTATTCTTCACGTTTTCCATCTCTCACCCCTCACTCTCTGTCCTCCCAAGTACACAATATATATATATATATATATATATATATAGAAAACATAAGATAGAGAGAGAAACAAGAGTGTAGAGAAAGCTACTCCCACATAAACGCGATCAGCTCTCCATAACTCCCTAAATCTTATGGATCAAAGCTTTAGATACCCTCCTTTTGAATTCAAGATGATGATAATCAAGGCAATGACCCCAGGACCTATGACGATGAATGGGAGCTTGAATGGCGATGGCTCTGAAATAGTGGATTGGGAGCTCAAGCTAGGATGAATGCTTGTTCAAAAGAGGAGCCTATATTATGATCGGACTTCTTCTACTCCAGCTCCCACCCTTAGGATTCGAGTAAAATATGGAGCTTCGATGCATGAGATCCACATCAATTCTCAAGCCACGTTTGGAGAGTTGAAGAAATTTCTTGTATCCCAGACAAGACTTCACACTCAGGACCAAAAGCTTATCTTTAAAGACAATAAGAGGATTCTAATGCTTATTTGAACGTGGCAGCAGTGAAGGACAAGTCAAAGATTGTGTTGATCGAATATCCCACTAATCAGAAGAGAAGGTATATTGAGATGAGGAAAAATGCAAAGGTGGAGAGAGATAAGTTTGCATTTTTTAAATCCGAAAAGGACAATGGTAGGGGTGGCAATGGGGCGGGGATGGGTCGGGTCTGGCTGGACCCTGGGTTCAGGTTTTGGACTCGGACCTAACCTATTAGGTCCAAAAAGTGGACCCATACCTGTACTCATCGGGTATCGGGTCTACCGTATTGGGTCTCGGGTCCCATTGTCACCCTCACTATGAGCTTATTTTTTTCTCATTTTTTTTCTTTTTTTCACCCGTATTATTAGCAGTAAGATCACAATCACCTGTTATTAGATTTTAAGCTGTGTGCTTTCTTGTTTAATACCTAAAGACGACTATTAGTTTTAATCAATGGTTTAAAAAACGGATCGGTGACCCCGATCGGGCTTCCAAAAAACCGATCCGGATTGGCGAATCGGCGATCCGGATAGGAAATCGGGTGAATCGGTCAGAATAAAGCTTAAAAAAAATTCAAAAAAATTATTAAAATTCATTATAAATATT